CTCTTTACCCTCTTATCCAACTCCTGCCCTATCACAATTTCTAACTTGTTTATATTCAACTCGTCAAAATGTGCGCCCTTTTATGGCAAATTTAGTGTGGTCTCATCACACCTGCTATTTTATCTCACTGCTTCTCTTTCGATCAGCTAATCAGACTCGGGTCTCCTATCCGGATCTCCCTCATGGTCCCGTAGATCCGTTTCTTATCTTTCTGCTGGACCGATTTCACTCGGTTTCAGTCCCAGTGTGCGTTTTACTCCAGGCGCTATTTCTCAAGAACTTAGAAGCACGTACACTGCCACATTATGGCTAAAATATAGTTGAAATCCACTTGAGATGTCGCGTGCGATCAGAGATAGGCGTACACAGTTTGCTCAGACAACACGGGTTTAATCAAAGACGGTGATGGCAAGGACAAGACGCGTGAGAGCAATGCCTGATATCTGCGATGATAAGAGAGAATTAAGGTTAAATTACTGGGAACAAGCAGCAAACTAAAGTAAATCAAACATAATTCAGAAGCATGAGGAATTGGAAAGAAAGGAATGATGTCCGACAAAAGATTGTCTAAGTATTCTGCGAGTGCAGAATAATCCTCAACCAAGGAGTTTTCCCAAATAAATATGCAGGCACATCAAGAAAAAAGGACGATAAAAATAGCCATAGGACCCGTATGTGCATAGAATAAGGCACTTTGAACTCACATCCATCTCGGCCAATCGAGATACATTCTTTGCTTGAATACGCTTGTCTTGAAATTGACCAATAAAGGCTGCAATGAAAGTGTCTGCAGCGCTATCTAAACGATGAGGTTCATCTCCATCCCCCTTATTGTCGAAAGTACCGGAAGTCCACGCTAGCGGCATCTCGTCAGGCATCAGACTACTCTGTCGAGAATATGGCAATTCCAACTGACCGAGATAGCTATCCAAGGACAGCTGAAGGCGGACCTCAGGTAAGGTTTGTATTTGGATCAGCTGGCGAAAGACGGACATTGCTATCACGGCAAAAATTAGAGGAACCACAATTTGGCCTATCGTGAGCAACGGATGACGATAAGCATATTTCAAGCGCTTGACCAACAGACAAGTAAATTGCTGCCAGTACAGACTAAGTCCTCGATTTCGAGATTCGTAGATATATTCAGAATCAGAACCTGTCAGTTCAAATAAATTTAAAACAGGTCTCTTATAAGCATAAATAGCGAAGTTTGAAATGAAATAGAGATAAGTCAACTAGTCAATGAGATAAAAGTTACTAAAATTAAAACAGAATAGATGAGTGAACAAGTACTGAGATCAAGGTGATTTAAGGAACGATAGCTGAATTATCCTACAATGAGATAAGAGCTCCTCACAATGTCATTGAATTTAATTAACCCTACCAGCTCAAAGACTAGCTCGTCCAGGGTGGAGTGCAAATTTTACCAATA